AGGCAACAGTTTCATAGATACGACACCTAAAAGCACAGCAACCAAAGACAAAGTAGAAAACTGGACTTCATCAAAATTGAAAACTTTTGTGCTTTCAAAGGACACTACCAAGAAAATGAAGAGACAATCCACAGAAAGGAAGAATGTTTTAAAAATCATGTATCTGATAAGGGTCTAGTCCAGAATACGTAAAAAATTGTTTCAATTCCACAATAAAAAAAACAAATAACTCAACTTTAAAAAATGGGAAACAATGAGGACAAAGGCTTACAAACTAAGTATAAGAAAGACTGGGGCACCTGGGTGGCTCAGTCAGTAGAGTGAGTGACTCTTGATCTTGGGGTCCTGAGTTTGAGCCCCACGGTTGGGTGTAGGGAAGGGGAGGAAGGCGGGAGGAGGGAAGGGAGAGAGAAGAAAGGAAGTTAGAAAGGAAGGGGCCAGGTCCCTCATCTCGTTGTTCAGCCTCCTCACACGGACTCACGCTGTCTTAGAATGAACTGTCACCTGTTTGAGCTACTGCAGCAGGGTTTCCCATTATTTGCAGCCGAATATATCCTGACTGAGAACACCAACCTCAGCTAAATCACCTCCCACCCGGCAGAGAGGAACCAGTCCTGTCGGTTCTACCTTCGGTCACTTTCACCTTGCCCCTGCAGCATCATGACAGCATGCACCCCCGTCTCTCACCGGCCCACTTTAACAGCTTCTAACTGGCCTCCTGCTTCCGCCTCTGCTCCCCTTCACTCCGTCCTCAACCACCATTCACTGTAAAATGGAACTCAAATCCTGCCACTCCTCCCACCAAACCCTGCAATGACTTCCCACCGCACCTAGAATAAATGCCCATGTCTTTAATCCACCTACAGGGAGGGCCGACTCATCTGCTGTGGCGCTCAGCCCCTCTCCGAGCCCACCCCCTACTAAGAGTCTCCCTCTCACTAGTTCAACCAACCAAACCGACCTCCTTGGTATTCCTCAAACAGGGGGCCTTTGGACCTCTTCCCCTGCCTGGAATGCCCCTCCTCCATACACCTTCACAGCTCTATCTCTGAGCCTCTCCACGTATTTACTCAAAAGCCACAATCTCAACGGCCCTTCCCTGGACACCCTATCTAAGATGTCAACACCTTGTCAACGCTGACATTTCCTAGTTCCTTCCCCTGCTTTGCTATTCCTCCCTCATTTATCACTCTCTACCGTACTCTGTATTTTGCTTATCCATCTGGTTTATTGTCTATGTCCCTCACTGAAATGAAAACTTCACGAGGGCGGAGCTTTAACTGTTGACTGCTGCAGCCCTGCAGCAATTACCACAGAGGCATACATTAGATGTTCAGTAAATATTTACCGATGAATGAAGAATTAAAGTCGGGGGAGGGCGCCTGGGTGGCTCAGTTGGTTAAGCGACTGCCTTCCGCTCAGGTCATGATCCCAGGGTCCTGGGATCGAGTCCCACATCGGGCTCCCTGCTCTGCGGGGAGCCTGCTTCTCCCTCTCCCACTCCCCCTGCTTGTGTTCCCTCTCTCGCTGTGTCTCTCTCTGTCAAATAAATAAATAAAAAATCTTAAAAAAAAAAAAAAAAAAGAATTAAAGTCGGGGGAAACCACGTGGGAATCTGATGGACAGTAAGAAAGTACCAAACGCAAATGTCACGGCCCCATAATTACAGTTAGGACCGTCCCCCGCTCCGGCATCCCCCTGCATGCCAGCCCTGCTGAGACTGGAGCCGCTCCGGCCCAGCACCCCTGCATCCTACGTGCTGAGCACCGAGCAGGCACTCAGCTACTTCAACTGAAGCCCACGCGTGGCTGAGACACTGCAACGCCCCACAACAGAGGAGGACCATAAAAATAGAACAGATACTTTCTAAATTGTTTTTGGACAATCCTACTTTGGCGAATGGATTTTTCAGCTGAAGCGCCTGAACAGAAATGCCAGGATCCAAACTTGTAAGCAGAGTTTGTTACTCAAAATTAATAAATACCTGCCTTCTCAACAGCAAAGTTCCAACAAATATGGTATTTATGCATTTTATTTAAAATAACTACAATTAGGCCAATGTAGTTGATTTCAGAGCGTGCTAAGAAACTTTAGAAGTTACTATTCTGAAATACTTCTGTTTTAAATAACTTAAAATCTATCTTCATATGTGCATGGTTTATATCTGTAAGGATACACAAGGAAAAGTATAATAGAGCTTGCCTCTGGGAATAGAGGTACTCAGGAAAAAGGAGTGGGGGAGAGACATTTTAATTATTACCTTTTTGTAATTTTAGAGTTTGCATCACGTGAGTGCACTACTTACACGAAAATAATAGATTACACTTTTAAAATAAGTCAATCACACAATACCTTAAAATAAAGTAATAAAACAACATCTACCTACTTTTGTCAAGGCAGCTTTAGAAAGAAACCTCTTTGTACCCATATTTTGAAGATAAGCAGATTCAGGTTCGTCAAATCAGCATAAGAAACAGATGGCGGATTCTGACTGACCCAGTGTTTGAACAAGCCCACAGACAGTGACAGCAGTAAGGTCTCTCTTCCTACCAGAGCCCTGCTTAGCGCCTCCTGTTACACAAGATCCAGGCAATGTGTGAACCTGCATGACATCTACCTCCTGGAGAAGCACTACAAGAAAAGTCTGCAATGAATCATGATTATAAATTACTTGCCGTAGAAATAAGTCAAATTGTTTTTAAAAAGTGTTTTATTCTTGGGCGCCTGGGTGGCACAGTCGGTTAAGCATCTGCCTTCAGCTCAGGTCATGATCCCAGGGTCCTGGGATCCAGCCCCACATCGGGCTCCCTGCTCAGTAGGAAGCCTGCCTCTCCCTCTGCCTCTCTGCCTGCCACTCCCCTGTTTGTGCTCTCTCTCACCATATCTCTCTCTCAAATAAATAAATAAAATCTTCAAAAAAAAGTCTTTCTCTATGCATCCAAGAAGGTTTTTCACCTATTAAAGTAAAAATTAATTTTTTTCTAAAATTTTACCCTAACATAAGTCAACATTACTCTTGGAATCCTCATTTTCTAACTGGACTCTCAGGACACAGCAAGGATCACGTCAGAAACATAACGAGTAAAATAACATTACTAAAAATGAGAGGAAGCTCCTTAAAGGGGCTGCCCCTTGAAAACTGTCCTCACTAAATGCCACCATGTGCACATCCTGATGGACACGCAATGCCCCGAGGGGGAAGGCCTCGCGGAGGCTCTGGGGGGAAAGTACTTGGGTCCTGCGGGAAGGCACGGTCTCCACGCACAAGCAAGACCCCTAGCTTTCCGACGGCAGCAGGCCGTGTCCACAGAAGGAAAGAGGAGGCGCCCGCGCGGACCGCAGGCGGCTGGACCACAGCGCCGGTGTGATAATGCCCACCCTTCGTCCCGCCGCAACCAACCTCTCCCTCGACCACGGTCCGACTGAAAACAGGCGAGAAACTTCAGCCGACTCCTCCTAACAGCCAAGCCGACTCTGCTACCTCTCACCTCTTAATCATGACCTCCCGAGCAGCTCCCCACTTACTTGGCCACCACGACTCGAGCGCTGCAGCGCAACGTGAGCTCAGACAAGCGGGTCTCTTCCTGGTGCTGCCACCAGTGCGACTCCCGAACTCACCTACGTGCCTCGAGAACGTGGGAGGACAGCTCGAGGCGCAGGCTGCGTCAGGAGCGCCCGCAACGAACCCCCGCTGGGCCGGGACCGCACGCCCGCGGCCTCCCCACCCGCGGCCGCCTAGGGGCGTGCCGTCGTCACTGTCCCCCCATCGCTCCGGCTCCCGCTCGCCGCGAACGTCCCGTGCCCCACGCTCCTCCCTCTCAGGGACGACGGGACGGGAGGGAAGCGGCGGTCCCGGCTCTCCAAGTCCTGCCCACAGCACCGCCCGCTTCTGGCAAACACACGGCAGCAAGTTCCTCCCCTAACTTCGCACGCCGGGGAAGGCAGAGCGCCGGGGCCGTGCCCGCCTCGGTGCCCGCCTCGGTGCCCGCCTGCGGAGCGGCGCAGACCCACGCCGGGGGACCCGGGCACGGCCACGGGGCGGGGTCTCGCCGCGGGAAGGGCGACAGCGCGCGCGCGGAGTTCGGGGGGCCGCGGGGCCGGGAGCTGCAGCGGGCCGCACTCACGGTCGGGGCAGTGGCTCCTCGGCCACGGCCGGGCCGGGGGGCGGCGGCGGCGGCGGCGGCTGCGGCGGCTGCGGCTGAGGCAGCGGCGGCTGCGCCTGCGGCAGCGCCTGAGGAGGCTGAGGCGGCGGCGGAGGCTGCTGCTGCTGCTGCTGCTGAAAGGACTTGAGGGATTCGAAGGCCTTCATCAGCTTCTCGAGGGTCGCCATGGCGACCTCCCGCCCCGCGGGGACAGCCCCCCGAGCCCTCGAGCCGACCCGCGGCGCCGCTCAGCAGCGCGGCAATGAATGGGACGCGAGGCCGCGGACAGGCGCGGAACCGAGGCACCCGGCCATCTTGGACCCGTCCCGGCACCCCCCGCGGCCGTGCGTCCCTCGACGCTGCGCCGGCGGGGCGGGGCCGGGCCGGGCCAGCGGGATTGACAGCCAGTGGCGGCCACCTCTGCCAATGGCCGGCCGAGGCGCCGACCCAACCCCCGCCCCCGCCGGCTGGCCTCCCCGGGCAGCCGCACGGCTGAGATCACAGCACCACTCTCGGGTGGGGGCGGGCGGGGGGCGGGCGGGGGGCGGGGTAAGGGGCGGGGCGCGGCCCGGCGGAGGACTGGGGCGGGGCAGGGGTGCGGCGGAAGGGGCGGGGAGCGGCGGGGTAGAGGGCGGAGCGGAGGGTGGGAAGCGGGGCAGGGGGTTGCGGCGAGGAAAACACCTGCGGCGGGAGGGGATGGGCAGAGGACCGGGACGCGGCCGAGGGCGAGGCTGGAGGGGAGAGAACGGGGTGGAGGGTGGGGGCGGGGCAAGGGGCGGGGCAGAGGGGGCGGGGCGCGGCGGGGAAGCACCTGCCCCGGGAGGGGAGGGGCGGGGCAGGGGGCGGGGCGCGGGGCGTCAGGGAAGGTACCCCTGCGCTGGGACCCCTGTCGCCGCGGCTGGGGCCTCAGGCAGGACGGGCGGCGGGCTGGGAGCCGGAGACCCCCAGCGAGGCGCGGGCTGAGGGAGGGGCTCCCCCGGACCGCCGGGCCCTCCCTGCGGGGAGGAAAGGCGGAGTGCGTGCGCCCGGCCCAGCCCCGGAGTGCGGGTCGGGGAGGAGGGGAGCCCAGGCGCCGCCCCTGGCTGAGTCATCCGCCGGGGGCGGAGCGGAGGGCAAGGGAGGGCCTAGGGCAGGCTCGGGGGCAAAAACCTGCCGGGTCAGTGCCTGCTGCCCGCAGGGGCCGTGGCTGGGGCAGCGAGAAGCAGCTTTGACCCCAGAGGCGCCACCCACAGGAATGACGGCCCGACCCTAACGGGTCCTTCAAGGAGAGGACCCCGTTCCAGAGGTCTGTAGGGCACCTCGTGCTCAGGGTGGGGCAGGCCCGGGAGAAGGGTCCTGGGCTCCAGAGCTTCACCCCCTGGAGGGGAGGTCGGTGAGCCCGCAGAGGACCGCAGAAGACAGTCGGGCGTCGAGGGGCAGCCGTCCCGCCCGCCTGGCAGGGAGAGGGTTGGCCCCAGAGAGAGCTGCGGGAGGTGGGGGGGTGCAGGTGATGCATGCAGTACGAATCTTCCGGATCCCACTCAGGGCAGCGCCCTCCTCCGGGCCCATAAGCCACAACTCCACCTTCCCTCGCCGTGGTCCGTTGTCCCAAGCGGTGGGATAAAGGGAAGCCCAGCAGCAGCACAGAAGCATTGTCCCTGAGGGGATAGCGACAGGGCTCCCTTCGGGGAGGCGACATCAGAGAATTGCCACCAGCCTCGAGGTCCCAGCTCCCTGATGCCTCAGGCACAGCAGCCCACAATGGCCGGGCTCCAGGCTGTCAGGGGCTGTGGTCCGCAGACCCGCCCCCCCCACCCCCTCCTGATATTGATGCTATTCATGCCCTCGAATAGTCCCCTCGCCTTGAGTGTGGCCTGATCCTGGTCCCTTGCTTGTAACCAACTAAATAAGGCCAAAGTGGCGCTCCTGGGATTAGGTTACAAAAGATGGAGTCAAGAAAGTCTTGCTGTTACTCTCTTGGCCTGTACACGTTCATGAAGCAGGCTGCTATGTCTGTGTTCCAGAGGCCACGTGGCTAACAGTCGGTGAGAAGCCGGGGGCTTTCAGTCCAAAGCCCACAAAGAATGGATTCCTGCCAATACCTCGTGTGCTTGGAAGTGGGTCTTTGCCTGGTCAAGCTTTCAGGTGAGGGGCGGCTTGTACCTGATTGCAGGCTTTGCGTGAGGCTGTGCCCGGACTCCCGACCCACGGCGGCCATGCAGTGCTGTGCGTTGATAAGCCGGGAGATGGCTGGTTACACAGCAAAAGGTGAGTTTGCTGGGGCTGCTTGTAACAAAGCTGCACAGACCGGGCGGCTCAAACCACAGAGATGTATCCTCTCCCGGTCCTGGAGGCTGGAAGTCCGAGATCCAGGCGTGGGCAGGTTGGTTCTCCAGAGCCCTCTCTCCCTGGCCTGTAGACGGCTGTCTTCTCCCTTGTCCTCTCATAGTCTTTGTGTGTGTCTGGGTCCTGTAAGGTCACCCATGGGTCATATTGGATTACAGCCCACTCCGAAGACCTCATTTTATCTTGATCACCTCTGTAAAGGCCCCATCTCCAAATACATAATCCGAGATGCTGGGGGTTAGGACTCAACATATGATTGGGGGGTGCACAATTCGGTCATCACAACAAGTAGTACCCTTGCCCCCTAATGGCCACTCTGGCCGTCAGCAATAGGATGTTTTATCTGGGCACTTTTTCACTTAGTTAAAAGACATTTCCCGTCCTTCCTTTTAGCTGGCAGTAGCCATGTGACTCAAAAAGTTCTGGCCAGTGAGATGTAAGCACAAGTGATGGGTGTTAGTTCTGGAAAGTGTCCTTAGAAGGAAGGGGCACACCTTCTTCCTCCCGCTGCCTGGAATGTGGATATATTGGTTGGCGCTTGAGAAGTCATTTTGGGTCACAAGGGTGAAAAGCACATCCTGGCAGGACAGAGCTCGGAGCAGCCAGGGTGGAGGTGCGGCCCCAGCCTAGCCCGAGGAGCTGTGAGAGAAATACAGTTCTGTTGTGTGTAAGCTACGGTGCTTCGGATCACTGTTTATGCGCTCCTAAGCCAAACCTTAACCAATCCAGAGAGGCTGAGTCATGAGACCTCATTTGCCCACAACAGCTCGTGGCTGCTTCAGCCAGGGCAGGAGGAAAGTCATCTGCCCAGAACTCACTATAATCCTGACAGGAAATCTTACCAGAGAGCCTGATAGAAAGTGACTGTCACAAATCAGAGCCATTAAAGATGAACACAGCTGGGTGGGCAGTTTCACCTGGTGTCCCCAAAGCCTTAAAAACAGGCAGAGGTGATTTATATATTAATCCTTGTGTCTTTCTGTATTTTTCAAATCTTCTGCAACAAACCTGTACTATTTGGGGGGGGGGGGGGGACGTTAAACAATAGGTTTGGGTGGGGAGCTAAAAATGAAAGCCTAGCAACACACTGTGATGATCCTGCACAGGGAGAGAGGGAGATATTTAAAGCCCCCAACGCCCCCCACAAATGGGGTACACTGCAGCTGGGGGCCACCCACTCTGAATCCCAAAGCAGGTAGGAGCCCGTGGGGCATGAGGCAGAGCCACAGGGAACAGGGTGAGTGGGCTGCAAGCTCCCAAGGGTGCCTTGGTGGCTCCTGCCCGTCTCCCCTGAAGCTTCTTGCATTTGAGAGTGTCCTTGCTGTGTATTTTAATTCTACGTAAGTATACACACGCGGACCGCAGAAAACACAGACACAGTAATTGTTGGTTTGCACACTCAACATTTGTTCAAATTGACTGCATGTTTACCGTTTTTCTTACTCCTCATTCCCTCCTACATCTCCGATCTTCCATCTGGGATCATTTTCTTCTGCCTGGAAAACACCCTATAGAGTTGCTTTTAGTGGGCCTTTTATTGCTGAAATCTCTGTTTCAGTTTATCTGAAAAAATCTTTACTTTGTCTTCATTCTCAATGGATTTTTGGTTGGGTATAGAATTCAAGGTTGGCAGATAACTTTATGTGGCAGATGAAAGATCTGGACTTCACTGTCTTCTGCTTTTCATTCTGGCTGTTGAGAAGTCCATTGTTGATTTAATGGCCACTCCTCTGAGTGTGAAGTGTCTTTTTTGCCCCTCTGTCTGCTTTTAACATCTTCTCGGGGTCTTCGGCTCTCTGTAGTTGCACTGTACCATGTCGGTATGTACGGAGAGACAAGCCTGCCTCTTGGCAGTGACCCTGGGGATCCCAGTCCATCAGTGATGTAGCAGTGGGCTGCCCAGCAGGAAGGGCTCAAAGGCTGGCTGATACCCGTTCTGGAAGTTCTGGAATGCTCGATCCCTGGTGAAAGATGTCTGGGATCAGGATGTTCTTTTTAGCAGCAAAGCCACTGCCCAGAGCCTGAAGTCAGCCAGCACCGCATGGCCAGCCAGGGGTTCCCTGTTCCCTTCGAGCCCCCGTAAGCACGCATGATGACCAGGCGCATAGCCCCACACTTCGGCCACATGTGGCTATCAAGCATTTGAACAAAGGTAATGACTCTGCATTGAGATGTGCTGTTAGGTGTAAAAACACACCAGATTTCAAATACTTAGTACAAAACAGTGACATATCAATATATGAAGTTCCTCTCTGGGGGGGAGAATGGACGGCTGGTGTTTAGGGAGGACAGTGTCAGAATCACAAGATCAGTTCTGGAGACAGACAGTGGGAATGGCTGCACGGCCTCGTGAATGTACTAAATGCCACTGAACTGGACACTTAACAATGTTAAGAGAGTAAATTTTTTTTTTTTTAAGATTTTATTTATTTATTTGACAGAGAGACACAGTGAAAGAGGGAACACAAGCAGAGGGAGGGGGAGAGGGAGAAGCAGGCTTCCCGTGGAGCAGGGAACCCGATGCGGGGCTCGATCCCAGGACCCTGGGATCATGACCTGAGCCAAAGGCAGATGCTTAACGACTGAGCCACTCAGGCGCCCCAAGAGGGTAAATTTTATGTATATTTTACCACAGGAAAAAAAAAGAAAAAGAAAACACTTTGTTTCTAATGAAACTCTTCACCAAGAGAAAAATCTAGTTTTTGGTAAAACTAAGGGAACTATTAGACATTTTTGGTTGGAGAGGAAATTTTTAAAAATTTTCAGAAGGGCAATTTGTTCACATGGGTATATAATATATATTCTTTTAAAATGCCCACACATCTTTTTTAGAGTGTAATTGTGCTTTATTTGGGGAAAACAAATAATTTCACAATGCGATGTTTATTTTTATCTTAATAATACACAGACATGGTTAAAAGAATAAGTCAGACACAGTGCTTATAAAGAAAACAGCTCTCCGGCCCACTGCTGCCCATCCCAGGAGAAACGCTTGCCATACAGAGCCACTTTTAATCCCTTTAGCTCTTTCTTACAGGGTTTACTCCAGTTGTTCATACACTTTACTTTTTTTTAAAGATTTCATTTATTTATATGAGAGAGAGCAAGAGCAAGAGAGATCACAGAGGGAGTGGGAGAGGGAGAAGCAGGCTTCCCGCTGAGCAAGGAGCCCGATGTGGGGCTAGGTCCCAGGACCCTGGGATCATGACCTGAGCCGAAGGCAGAGCTTAACGACTGAGCCACCCAGGGGCCCCTGTTCATACACTTTAACCAAGGGATTCCCTGCTACAAATCTACCCTAAAAATATTATCACAGGGGCGCCTGGGTGGCTCAGTCGTTAAGCGTCCGCCTTCAGCTCAGGTCATGATCCGGGGGTCCTGGGATCGAGCCCCGCGTCGGGCTCCCTGCTCAGCGAGAAGCCTGCTTCTCCCTCTCCCACTCCCCCTGCTTGTGTTCCCTCTCTCACTGTGTCTCTCTCTGTCAAATAAATAAAATCTTAAAAAAAAAAATATTATCACATATGTGCACAAAGATGTAGGTACAGGGCTATCCATCCCATAGGTGTTTATAATAACAAGGAAGCTGGAAGCAACAATTGTTTGGATTGTTTGATAAATGATGTCCTAAATGTGCAGAAAAGATTGAGACAGATATTAAATGACATGGGAAGAAATAAATAAATACAGATTACATAAATATAGAGTAAAATGCTGATAGGGATTATCTTTGGATAGTGGCTATTAAAGATGAATTTTTCATTGTGTACACTTTAATTTCAAAACTCTCCTTAATAAATATGTGCTTGCTTATAACCAGAGGAGGAAGACAGTGACATATCAATACGTGAAGTTCCTTGTTTGTAAAATCCTTTCCCAAATTCGCTGTCTCAGTCAGGATGCTTCTGTTGAGCATGGGGGCGCTCAACTCAGACTAGCTTAAGCAGAAAAAAAAGGGGGGACAAAGGACTTAACTGGTTTCCAGAGCTGCGCCCCACAGGCACAGACAGCCCCCTAGCTCCCTCCCTGGCAGGGCTTTGCGGGCAGGGGCCCTCCACCCCGTGGTGACCGGGCAGGGACGGGGCAGACAAGCGCACCACTGCCCCTATGTCCACACCGATAACAGAAGGTCTGAAAGGTCTCAGAATATAAGCAGGTTGTAGGAATAAAGGTGATTCTATTTTCTTTAAACCGTCCTGCATCGTTTACGATGAGCATGCATTACTCTTCCACAATTACTAACAGATTTACTGAGCGGGTAGCACATACCAAACGCTCTACTAAATGCTTTACGAAGGCCTTGGGCCTCCGTCCCCCACCTCCCGCTGTCCTCAAACCGAGATGAGGGCCCCAATCCGAAGAGAAGCCATCCCTAAAATAAAGGCCCAGGACCCCAAGGTCACTCCTCCCTCTCCCCGCCCGGATACAGAGCAAGCTGAGGATCAGCCTCTGCTGGTCTCGCAGGACGCGGCCAGGGTGCTTTCCTCAAAGCGCGACCCCAGCACTGCTGTGTTCCAGGTGGCCATGAACACGCATGCACACGTCACCGGCACTCCCGGAAGCGCCGTCTGGGTTCAGGTGCCTGGGGACACACAGCTGCAGGGCAGCAACACTGAACCCGGGCACACAGCTGACCCCGGCTCACTTTCCTGCACACAGCCATGTGGCGGGGTCTCCGGATCCAGACCAAGTCCTTGCTGTTTGGTGAGTCACAGAGGCCTGGCCCCTGGCTTCTCACCCAGCCCCCACTGTAGGCCTCGCACGTGCAGATAGGGGAGGAAGCCCCGCTTCGGTGCCTCAGGGCCACCTCCCCCCAGAATCTGCATGCCCCTCCATGGTCTTCACAAGGCCTGTGGGCACCAGCTCCCCACCCCAGGCAACAGAGCCCACGTCCCACCACGGGGAAGGGGCCACCTTCCTCTTGGGGCAGTCCTGGCAGAGGGAAGGATTACTGACCCTGGAGTCCTGGCATCCCTTAGCCCGTGTGGGAAGTGAGCTCTGAAACTGCTAAGCGTGGAGGGGGCTCGTCGCCCACGGCCCAAGCACAGGCCTCTCCCAGACCCCCTTCCCCTGTGCTTCAGGCCCGGAGGCACTGCGCAGTCCCGGAGACTCCCAGGCTGCCGGAGTTGGGGAAGCAGCGCCGAAGGCCAAGCCCTGGCCTCGGGTCCTGCCCACACCCTCTTTCCGCACGTGCACAGGAACACGCATGCCTCACACAGGAGAATCTTGGCAAATGAGTGGATGTCAGTGTGGATGCAAACAGGCAAAGACTTTCTGGGGAAAGGGGGCCCCCCTGCCTCCCACCTCGGTGGGCACCAGAGGACACTCTGGGGTGAGGAAAAGGACCCTTGGCTCTGGACACTGTTGGGCTGATGTCCACGCCCACTCTTTCCCCCTCTCTGTGGGCACACGTGGGGCTAGGGCCCCCGCCACAAGATGTCCACACGGGGCTTCTGGGCATCGGGGCGGTCCTCAAGTGCCTTTTTCTTCAACCCAGCTTTGGTGAACACACGATTCAGGTATGAATATAGAGACAGCTGCAGACGCATGGCTCGTGTTAAGCTGTGTCACATGTTTATTGCGGCTCAGGGACAGGACGGAACGCTGAGCACGGGCTCCTCGGCGCTGGGTCGGGCTCTGCAGTGAGTGGTCACAGATTTGCGGGCAACTCTTCCTTCTCGCTGGGGCCACCGCTAATGCAGCCCTGCAACACGGCAGAGCGGCGGGGTCAGTCACTTACCTAACGCACGCCCACTTCACTCTCCTGTGGTGGACACAAGAGTTTACAACCACAGGACAGGGGCACTGACGTTAAGGCTGAGTTCCACACTTCTTTCTCATGGTACGGAGCATGCTCAGTTTGCACACATGCACACACACACACACAGCGTCTCAGATTCGCCATCTCTGTTGCACACTCAATGCAATTGCATGACCCGAGCTGAGCACTGCAAGGGAATGAGGCTGGGCTCCCCCTGCATGAGGTGGGCCGGCGTGCGGAGCGTGTCCAGGCAGGACTTCCTGCACAGAGAGACCGGCTGCCCGGGAGACCCACGGCGCTAACTCACGCCTGGCCCTGGTTCTCCGAGGAAGTGTGGTCCTGGTGGACATGCCCTGACAGACCTTTCCCGCCTAAGGCTTGTTTTTCCTACTGAACAAAGATGGACTCGAATGTTAGTGGACAACCTCTGAATAAAGTCTTTGAGAATGGACAGGGTATGAAGTAGGGCGATGCACTAGTCCAAGGAGAAAAACTTGACTAGGAAAAACATTCTAAGTATCATGCCACCCCAGGAGTCTCTCGGCACCACTCTTGGACGTCCTGTGTGAGAGCAGCCCGTGAGGGAGCCGCGGCCAAGTCGGAGCTACGTGACGTGATTGCTCCACGACCGGTCTACACGACACTCAGTTCTGAGCAAGCTCGCGGGCCTCCTCGCTGAAGGACGGGTCTGTGGCTGCATGTCAGCGAGCCTGTTTGCCCTTGTGCATCAGAACAGAGCCTTCGTACCAACAGCAAACGACATAGTGAGGATTTTTCTGGTGGGGCTCAAATCACACCATAGGGCTAGAGCTCTTAAATTATGTGAAATATCTTAATAAGAAATCTGAGAAAAGAAAGTTTTTTACCTTGGTGAAATATTTCTTTTCTTTTAACACATCCCATTAAAAACAAAACGAAACAAAACAAAAAACCAACATAACAAAATGCTTGTTACCCTTACCCCTCTCCTGAAGAGTCTGTAGAAGAAGCCTCTCTTCGGTTTGGGAACCGGGTGATACGTTTTCTCTTCTATATTCAACACCGTGTGTTCTTCAGGCTCCTCTTCATTGATGTCCTTAAAACAACCCGATTCGATCATCTGCATCCACACAAGAGCAGGACAGAGAAGGGGAGAGACACTGCGAGGTCAGTCAGCCATTTCCCGCCCGACACCCAGCTCAGCAGGCGGGGGCCACTCCCGTCCCCATGCTTGGGGGTAGGGAACACAGCCTCCTCCTCCTCCCTCTGAGTGCACCCCCAGAGCAGGTAAGGACCGGGCACCAGCCAGGCCCACTCTGAAAGTGGGACCCGGGATGGTGAACTGTCCGCCTCCTGTGCAGGGACCGGGGCAGCTGCCTTGCCTAATCTTACCTCCAAACACACACGCGCACACACAATTGGTTTCCTCCCAGGATAAACCGGCAGTACCTCGTTCTGCCAGGGGATGGAGACACAGCCCGTAGCAAACTGACTGTAGAATGTGTCATCTGTGGTGTCCAGGTGGACTCCTCTCACGGTGGAGAACTGCTCGATATCCACGACGTCCTTACAGTAAATGGCCTGCGGCTGTGCACCACCAACAAAGAGGCGTTGGCCTCTGGGATGACTGGAGTCGTTCCTAGTCTCCTTAATTACTAAGAACGCAGCGCATGTGAAACCGACGCGTTCACACCGTATTTGAGGCCTTTCCCTCCCTCTCGGGAGCTCTCCTCGGTCACAAACCCCGTGGACCCCCTCTGGTCCGCAAACCCCCCGAGGCCCCCACCTTTCCCTTTCCTGCAGTGGGAAGTGGGTGACAGGCCGGGGCAGGATGAAGGGCCATGGGACCCTTGGCCTCCTTCACGTGAAGCGCCCCACGCAAAGTCTAAGTGAACAAGGGCAGGTCCCGCTTCTCGACCTCCTGTCAGAGCTCCTCTAGTGGCCTCCAGCCGCCCCTCCTCTGGGACAGGAGCCCTGGCTGAGCTGCCCTCAGCAGCAAGCCAGCAGGGCGCACCCGAGCCTGGGCCGTGGCCCCCTCCAGCCCAGCCACCCGAGCTCCTGGAAATGGGGAACAAAACGCACCGGAGTCCAGCTACCAGCCAAACTATGGTCATGCAAGAGGCACCTGGCAGTTTTTTTGTGTTTTTTTTTGTTTTTGAAGATTGATTGATTTATTTATTTGACAGAGAGAGAGACAGCGAGAGAGGGAACCACAAGCAGGGGGAGTGGGAGAGGGAGAAGCAGGCTTCCCATGGAGCAGGGAGCCCAATGCGGGGCTCGATCCCAGGACCCTGGGATCATGACCTGAGCCAAAGGCAGACGCTTAACGACTGAGCCACCCAGGCGCCCCGGCACCTGGCAGTTTTGAGAAATGCCCTGCCCACGTATGGGAATCTGCACGATCCAAGAAGGGACATCCTGTAGGCCACTGGTCAGCACACCTCAGAGCAGCTGCTACCCATTCAGTCCCCACACAGCAGGGCCATGGAAGCAAGTGGGGGTCCCACTCGGGAGACAGTCCAGGGCAAGGCTGGGGAGGCCTGAGCCCAGGCTGAAGGCCCAGAACCCCATCCTGCCCCCTGACCCGTTACCACGGGACTCCCCTGTCAGCGGGCCCCACGGTTCCTCTGGTCACATTCAGTAGAATACCCAGAATGTCAGCTCCAGAGCCCCGACCTCGCAGGCCCTGCCCCAGGCCTCTGAGCACAGCAAGGGGAGTCATCGCTGCTCCCTGAAGATTGCCTTCCCTGCTCCTCTCAGACCCCACGGCCGTGTCAAGTCCCTGGGGCGCGCCATCCCTGTTCAGGGGTCGGCTGGTCTGCAGGCTGGAGCGAGCACCAGAGCGGGGACACCTGGCTTTCTTGTGCTCCCTGCGGTCCTAATGCCTCCACCTGTGTCTAGAGGTGGTGGGCACCCAGGAAACATGTAATGTGTGAACTAATTCAAAGGAAGGAGGTCCTACTACAACATACTGGAATATGAAAACATAGTAAGTCTGGACTTGCACAACTAAAAATGTTTTCATTGTACGTCTCAGTTCCATCATATCCTGCAGAATTATCTCCACCTTTCTGGAATGCACGGGTAGCAGACTGTTAAGAAGAGAGCCCAGACTGCTGTTGTTCATTTCTGCTTTCCTCAGCAGGAATCTCCTGCCTGCAGGTGTTCCCACCAAGCACTGACCCAAGCCAGGCCCTGTGCTAAGCATGTGGACACGGCCCCTGAGTAGGCCCCACAGCAGGCTCACAGGAGGCTCAGGTGACCTCCAGGGCTCCCTGTGGGCAGCGTGCTGCCAAGACCTAGGAGACACGGAGAGGGGAAGGGCTTCCCAGACTAAAGGCGCTGACACAAAAAAGGGGATGCTGTCACACAGAAGGCCTTGCAGGGCCCGACTAGGAGGTCGTGTGGTGGTGCTGGGGCTCTGAGCAGGAAGGCCTGTGGGGACCTGTAAGGACAGTGTGGTGAGTGGCCGGGGGCTGGGAGGGGCCACCCAAGCAGAAGCACAGTCAGGCTGCACCAGCGCTTCTGCATCTGCTGGAAAATTACGGGGTTCCATGGATCCATTTTCTTGGACACCCTGTTCCTGGGCGACGTACTTACATCAGGACAGAAAGGCGGATCTAACATATTTGCTTCCAGCCTCTTGAAATTAATGTCCTTGAACACGGGATGAGCCTTCACTTCTGCCACTCCAGCCTTGCTGCCCAGCCGCTGTTTGGGATTCTTGGTGAGTAACTGCAAGAGGCAGAAACGGAGTCAATTTAAGCTCCTAGGATAGAAGAGAGAACTCGGAAAGTCTCCATAATAATAAGCAAAGAATCAGGGGTAGCAAAGAGCATCGTCTCCATCTAAACAAAGTTACTCAAATTTCAAAGTTTCAACCAAACCTCCTTAATTCAGATTTCATGAGTTTAGAATATGCAATGCTTCAAAAAGGAGTGGAAACTAATATAACAGCCTTTGAGCTACCAATAAATAAAGGTCGGCTAAGTAAATCCTTAAGAAAAAAGTTTTAGCCACGTAAAAATTAGGGAGCTCTTTAAAAAGAAATAGGAACTGTCAAGAACTTCACAGATACCATTTGAATGCTAAGTTATGTTTATAATTGGAAACTATTTTAATCTATTCATTAAATAGATCACTAAGGAGCTCAGATGAGGCAAAAATTTGGCAAACCAAGTTCTAGAAATTGTATATTCTTAAAATGGACAGCATCGCTTTCAAAAGTATTCCTTTCTCATATATTCATAATTTTCACCAAATAGGCCCTCATCCACAGTTACCATCAGTCAGAAAGGTTTGGCTGTGCTCAAAGCAAAACAGGACAGATCTGGGTCTACAGCGTGGCCAGGCTGCGGCCCGGAAGCTGCCTGACCTCGTCGAGGAGGTTTTAGCACAACACAGCCCGGGCCGTGCTGTCTCGTTACGGTGGTGGGCGCCGCAGCTGTGCGAGGAACCGGCCAAGTCTAAGTATGACTCACTACCCGGCCCCTCACAGAGAAGTCTGCTGACCTGGCCTCGCCTCACAGCCCGCACCCACCGCTCTTCTGAAGAGAAACCAAACTCCCAGGCAAAGAGCCGAGCACATTCTGCGTCTGGCATGTGTGCACCAGCCCGCACACCCCTGCAGCCCTCGCTGTGTGAACTGTGCATGCAGCACACACCCTCCCTTGCTCACCTCCTCACGGCCTGCACACGCACTACGCCCTCTGTCTAGAAGACCCTTCGCCTGGCTGAGCCGGGCTCCAGCTTCCTACCTTCAGAGCGTGCTCCCTCAGGACACCTGTCCCTCCTGGTGTGACGCCATCACTTGGGGAAGTACTCACGGCCAGTCCCTCCTGCTGGACCCACACCTCCAGAGGCAGGGCCGTGGGAAATCCTGCTCACTGGGGCAGCGCCCACACCTCGCCGGGGCAAGGGCTCGACAAGATTTGCTCAGTGCAGTTATTCTTGGTACGCTTTGCTCATTAAAAACAGATCTGAGAATTCAGTGTGATGCCAAATACAATCCCAGCGTCTCAGGGGCTCCAGGACTCCATCATCAACCCTGCTGCTGACACACACCTATCCGATGGCCTTGGACTTGTGCTCAGAACGTCTGGGTTCAAGTTTGCCCACTGACATCCCATTATGGGATGTCACAGAAATCAAACTTAAGGGCACCTGGGCGGCTCAGTCGGTCAAGCCACTGACTCTTGATTTCAGCTCAGGCCGTGATTTCAGGGTCAGGGGCTCCGTGCTCAGCGGGGAGTCTGCTTGGGATTCTCTTTCCCTCTGCCCCTCCCCCAACTCTTGCGCTCTGTCACGCGCGCTCTCTCTCTAAACTAAATAAAATCGGGTGCCTGGGTGGCTCAGTTGGTTAAGCAACTGCCTCCGGCTCAGGTCATGATCCTGGAGTCCCGGGATCGAGTCCCACATCGGGCTCCCTGCTGAGCAGGGAGTCTGCTTCTCCCTCTGACCCTCCCCCCTCTCATGTGCTCTCACTCTCTCATTCTCTCTCTCAAGTAAATAAATAAAATCTTTAAAAATAAATAAATAAAATCTTTTTTTAAAATCAAACTCCTAATTTTTCAACTGTGAGGCTAAGAAAACCCCTTAGAAGTCCACTCTGAGGGTCAGATAAGATTAATATATCAAAGAGCTTTCAAAACTGCAGACAGGTGTCCACATGTCAGGCGCTGCCCTAGCCCCCTGTTTGGGCCGGCTTTTCCTCAGCCCTTCCTTCTGCTCTGTCCAACACAAGTACAACACTGACCTCAATCCACGTCTGCTCACTCATTCAACATGGGTGCAGCATGCTGGGAGCAGGCGCCGGGCAGAGGAGAGGCAGAGAGGGCAAGGAGCCATGCACAAGCCTGCAGCACCCCCTCTGCAAGGGCACTGGGCACGGGGCCCAGCCCACCATCCCTGTCCCCACAGGTGCTGTCCTCTGCAGATGCCCCCTGCCTCCGGAGATGCCCTCTCCTCCAGTCCCCGTCTGCCGGGGTTGAACCAACTCTCCAAGAACCACATGTCTCCGCTCGCAGGAGTTCCTGAGGATTTGTGCGTCACCAGGCTGGTCACACGCATTCCTGCATCGCCCCTTCCCGGCGAGCCTGTGAGGGCGAGGCTATCACCATGCACACGCCAGAGACAAGAAAGCAGAGGCCGGACAGGGAAGACAGGGAAGCCCGGTGCGGGGAGCTGAGGTGTGGCCCCCGAGCTCTGAGGCCCAACCCTGGTTCTCACTCAGGCACCTGCCTTCCCCAGTACCCTTACCAGAACACAGCATCTCTCCATCCTGAAAACCCTGGAGCCCTCGTTTCTCTCTTGTTTATGGCACCCATCAAATTCTGCTTTTTCACCATAGTTATTTTTCATGTTTGTTCTAGGCCTGCCATTGAACTGTGAGCTCCTTAGGGGCAAGCTCTACTTCCAACTTACATCTTTACATTCCTGCAGCCCTTATCAGAGTGTCTGGCGGGTGGCAAGCACCTGGTCAAATAGCAGCTTGGCCAGAACGCTGTTAACCCTGGAGGGGCTGGCTAACCACGGCCAGCTCCACGCAGAATGAGCTGGCGGGAGGGAAGGCCAGCCTGGTCCCACTGCTTGGGACAGGCCACTAACACGCCTCACTCCACATATGGCAACAACAGGGAAAGGGAAACAGAATCAGTATCTCCAGCCACCAACAGCTCACCTAAGTTACTGCCGTTTTCAGTAACGGGTACGGTGGCTGCTGGTTCCGGCAGGCACCCACTTGGGGACCCACGGCCCGCCTCTCTGTGGCCTCCATCCCCGCCCCCGCCACTCTCCCCCTCGACTCTTCATGACTAGCCAGCCCTGCTTTCCTCTCCGTGCCCTCCCAGACTTTCCAGGTCTGGCGAGAGGGGTCATGGCTCCGACAAGCAGTGCTCACACCTTTGCCTCCAGCCTCCTGACTTTGCCTTGAGCCCCCCTTCCTCATCCGCCCGTAACCCACCGCGATTCCACCCCCCACGGTTCAACCACTGCCCTGCCTGCCCCCAGCCCCGCAGTCTCTGTCCTCTTGTCTTCTCCCCTCTGTGACACGCAGCCTCGTGGGCCCCTTAACGCATCCAGGAAGGTGGCAGACACGTGGCGGCCCATCAAGTCGGGGTGTCTATCGTGACACGATCCCTGGCAGCCAGTTAAAGAGGAAGGAAACATGGGCAGACAGAAAAACCTCATTGTTCCTAAGAAACAAGGTTCTCTTTGATCTTTAGTTTCACAGGAAATGAGTGACCTTGGCACCACTCTTCCCTCTCAGAGGCACCTTTTGAGAAATCTAACAAGGCACTGCTCTGCTTTGCTCCCACGGGTTGGAAGCCCATCACGTCACTTCCCAGGCGAGGCCAGGATGCGTGGCCCTCTCCCCGCTGGAGGCTGTGTGGTGGGGAGACTGCTAGTAGAAACGACCCCCGTAAGCTGGGGTTCCACCCCAACCTCCCCCGAGCCCGACCCACCATCTTGCAGAGAGACTTGGCGTCCTCCGAAAACTTCTCCGAATACTGCTCGGTATCCTTCCTCACTCTTTGGTCCACCTCCTCTCGCTTGACTCTCTCTTTGAATTTTCTGAATGGAGAATGTCCCTCAATCATTTCATATATCAGACAGCCAAGTCCCCACCAATCAGGACTAAATGTATAGTGTTCATTATTGATAACTTCAGGAGCTACATAACAAATACAGGGAAATTTAAGTTAAATTTTGGTTTTTTAATTTTCTGGTAATTAATTCCAAATAACACATTATAAACTTAATGTTTGTTACAACATGAACCCTGGAAATGTGTCAAGGGGCAGAAGACAGACACAGAAAGCCCAAGAGCGTGTGATCCTATTTACATGGAGCGAGCAGAAGAGACAAGTCCATGGAGACAGAAAGTGGGCGAGCAGCCGCCGGACCGGGGCTGGAGGGGTGCTGACGGGCCCGGGGTCTCTTTCTGGTGGTGGTGGTTGCACAGCTCTGTGCGCGTGCTGAAATCCACTCAAGTGTACACTTGGGAGTGGTGGATTTTATGGTATGTGACTTACATTTCAACAAATGGGTCACTGAAAACAGTCTGCGCTGTCCCCAGGGCACGAAATGAGCAGCCAGAGTAACACACACAGGGAACTGGTCCTCTAGGGAAGACCCTGCCTCCTGAGGAGGGTGCTCCCTCAGACACCCACGGGCGCCCCAAGGGCACTGACCCCCGCAGCAGGTGACTGCAGACATGGCCCTCGGGGTCCCTCACGTCAGAGGCCACACCAGGGTCAGGCTGGCACTGCCGGGTGGGGAGCTGACCCCAGGCCAGGGCCTCCCAGTCACAGAGGCTTTGCAATAACCAGGGAACCACGAGTTCGCGAGGGCCTGGAGAGGCCAGCGTGCCCAGGATGGTGGCAGCAGCAGAGTGAGGGCCCCGTCCTGCCCTGGTTCTACCCTCACGCAGCTGCAGGACCTCTGCCGGCCTCACCCCCTGGTCTCTGTAAGACAGGAGGGCAGACAGGAGGACTCCTCTGTGGTCCCAACACTGGCCGCGTACAGACTTCCAACACCACCCGTGCTCCCGCCAACTGGCTTAGAACTTCTCTGCGCTATGAGGACGCGAGCATTCAGAGAGAAAGCACAGGGATCTGGAAGTAGCCGTTCACATACCCATGTAGCCGACGGTACCCACTCTTCCTCGGATGGTCCCCCCTTCCGGGATCTCCGTGGCTAAACCCAGGTCTGAGATCCGGATGTGCCCTGTGTGTGTTCAAGCACATTACAAACCACAGGGGGCATGCTGACACATTCATGACAATAAACAGTGGGGAAAAAATCTAAAATTACGTCTAATTTCTCCACATTTAGTAAAATACTATGCAGAGCATTCAGGTCCACTAACACAACAGGAAATTAGATTTATAGCTGGTTACTAATCAGGAAGCCCTTTAACCATAGACAACCATTTGTTAAGATAGAAGCACTGTGTTGGGGCGCCTGGGTGGCTCAGTTGGTTAAGCAACTGCCTTCGGCTCAGGTCATGATTCTGGAGTCCCGGGATCGAGTCCCACATCGGGCTCCCTGCTCAGCGGGGGGTCTGCTTCTCCCTCTGACCCTTCCCCTCTCATGCTCTCTGTCTCCCATTCTCTCAGATAAATAAATAAAATCTTTTAAAAAAATAAATAAATAAAAAATAAAAAAAAGATAGAAGCACTGTGTTTATTATTTAATTTCCTGTAACTACCAGATCCATAAATAAAACTACAATGACTAGTACATGAACTACACAATAGAAAATAAACACTTTCTGTCAGAATACCAGTAGGCTTATATACAGGAACAACAAAAGACGAAAATAAGGAGTTTTTCTCTGAAGAACAAATTATAACAGCAAAATAATAAATAAAATCAAGGAAACTCACTTAAAAGGCTATGTCATGTGTTCATGCCTTTATATAGAAAGATTTAAATAGTTATGAAAATAACTATAGAAAACTTTCTTTTGAGAGTCTAGAAAGATAAACCAGCCCTGGAGGCAGACGCCCCACTCACCTTGTTGGCCATGTGTCTCCAGCTCCTGATATCGTACCTGCATATAGTAGGTGCTCAATAAATATTTATTGAAGAGATGAATGCACCAACCAATAAGTATGTGCTCAACACTGAAAATCCACAACATGCCATTTAGGCACTGAATTTGCTTTAACACAGCCTGCATGATGCCTTAGACAGGAAAATCGACCTTTCCCTTAGCACACCAGCACTGTGAGTCACGTTACTCCCAGCGGCGGCGTGCCTGCATTGGGGGAGGCAGGAGGCTGGAACCACGGGAGCGGATGCTGGAGCCGCACGACCTGGGTTCGAGTCCCAGTTCTGCCATTTATCAGTGTGTCTGTTTCCTGCTTTCGCACAGGAAGATTTCCTCCATAAGGCAGCTTTTACGTATTTTATGTTTAAGTACTGGCATGTTGTGAAATTTTAAGTATCCTTTCTTATTTTTCTTTTAAAAAGTGATTTTTCTCCACTGAGAAATGAAGAGCAAAACTACTGACAAACGGGCGAAGACTCAGCTTGAGAACCCATCCTGCCAGCGGGGCCCCGGGGAAGCAGGTGCATGCCCTGCTAGTGTGCACACAGACCAGCACAGTTCCAATGCCAGGAATTCGGCAATGTCTGTGAAACTGCATGTGAACCCATCCTTCAGCCTCACACCCCACCCCCCACGGGGGCCTATCCCAAGGACACACTGGACAAAGCAGGAAATAACTTGTGCACGGGGCCAGGCATTGCAGCAGTAACCGAAAGAACGGAGAGCTGGGAACAGCCCACTGCCAGGCAGATCAAGCCAGGCCGTCCCCAGGCAGCTGGATGAAGAAATAAGGAAGATCTCCATTTAGTGTTGTATAACCATCTACGCCACATATTTAAAAAGCAGAGAAAAATACTGTAATCATATTAATGTCATTAGGAACTAATATTTTCAGCATTAGGAGAAAAAGGACACAAATGTGAAATGAAAAAGTAAAAGGAGAATTAGAAATATCAATATGATTCCATGATGAATATTTTCTTTTAAAACAACAAGAACAGATGTGTTCTCTCCCAGAAAAGGCCTGGGAAGAATGACCAGCAGGGCAGCGAGGGCACCTGGAACCCTTACTGGGCTCTCCGCACAGAGGACCAGGCCCCTTGGAGACATGGTCGACTCCAGGTCTCAGGGCACATGCAAGGTCATCCTGGAACATCTTCAGTAAGAAATAATAGCAGAAAACAAGGAAATCATTAGAGGCTACTGGACATCCACTGGCCAAAGAAGGGACAAAAAACATCATAAAGGATAATTACTCCAATGGATTAAACCCTATCACAGTGTTAAAATCCATACGTTCATTAATGATACCAAAACAGAATAAAACGAGAACCTCCCTTGATCATCTTGGAGAACGATAGAGAACTAACACAATCTCCTGAAAAGTAGAAATAAAAGGAAGCACTCACATATTTCACCTGCTTTTCCTGAACAAAGAGGTAAACAAAATTCTTTTTTACAGATGGATCTCAACATTTAAGTGCACCAGGAATGACAGAATTAGAATGCCATCACTTTACAGCCCCAGTGAAATGCTGTATCTTAATATTGATCCTGCATCCATTAAATGAAAAGCTGGTGGGAAATGGGTAATGGAGAGATCAAGCTGACCAAGGTGTGAAACTCTGAACACCATAAAAGGAGAGATGCTCAGTCCTCACATGCCCCCTGATGTCATGCAACAGGAAGGACACACCAAGTATGCTCACCAAAAATCAAACCTGGACCAATTCCAGCCTCCAATTTTAGCCACTGGCTTACAGGAAGAATAGGGGAGGCAGGGAACATGTTAGATCCAGCCAAATCCACAACCCGGGAACTTCAATAGGACAAATGTCTGTGTTCTAGCCTGCCAGGCTGCTGTTACCAAAGCGCCACAGCTGGGGGCGGAAAGGACAGATATTTATTTGCCCACAGCCCCGGCGATGGGAAGTCCAAGATCCAGGGCCAGAGGGCAGGCCTCTCTGCCTGGTGTGTAGACAGTGGCTCTCACCCGTGTATTCACAGCCTCTTCCCTCTGTGCACGTCTGTGTCCTACCTCCTCCTCCTATAAGAACACCAGTCATATGAAATTAGGACTCTCCCTAGTGACCTCATTCAGCTGTAATCACATCTTTAAAGACCTTCATTCCAAACACGGTTGACTCTTGACCACCACGGGTTTGAACTACATGGGTGAACTTATGCATGCGTTTTTTTTCAGTACGGACAGCACTGTAAATGCATTTGCTCTTCCTTATGATTTTCTTAACATCTTTTCTCTAGCTTACATTATTGTAAGAATACCATATATAAGGGGCGCCTGGGTGGCTCAGTTGGTTGGGCAACTGCCTTCGGCTCAGGTCATGATCCTGGAGTCCCGGGATCGAATCCCGCATCGGGCTCCCTGCTCAGCAGGGAGTCTGCTTCTCCCTCTCCCACTACCCCCTCTTGTGCTCTCTCTCTCTCTCACTCTCTCTCTCAAATAAATAAATAAAATCTTTAAAAAAAAAAAAAGAATACCATATATAATATATATAACATACAGAATATGTGTCAATTGACAGTTTATGTCATCAGTAAGGCTCTGGTCAACCGTAGGCTATTAGTAGTTACATTTTGAGGGAGTTGAAAAGTTATATGTGGGGGCACCTGGGTGACTCAGTCAGTTAAGCATCCAACTCTTGATTTCAGCTCAGGTCATGATCTCAGGGTTGCGAGATGGAGCCCCGTATCAGGCTCCGCGCTCAGTGCAGAGTCTGCTTAAGACTCTCTCTCTCTCTCTCTCTCCACCTCCCCCCTCTCAAGCTTGCACTCTCTCTCTCTCTTAAAAAAAAAGAAAAGAAAAATTATATGCGGATTTTTGATGGTGTGGGAAGTGGTGCCCCTAATCCCTACATGTTCGAAGGTCCTCTATACATTCACATTCTGAGGTGCTGGCGGTTAGGGCTTCATGACATGAATTTTAGAGAGACACTATTTGACCCATAACACTGGTTTCACAAATGAATAAATGACATAAAGAAGCAGGGAGGAGGAACCTATGACATTTAAAAAACTCAACAAGATATCGACCAAATGTAATATGAACTTCATGCTATATTCAATACACAACTATAAAAACATTTATGAAATAATTAAGGAAGATTTAAAGCTGATGGGAGGGCAGAGGGAGAGGGAGAGAGAGAATCTTAAGCAGGCTCCACACCCAGCACAGAGCCTCATGCGGGGCTCGATCTCACGACCTTTAGATCATGACCTGAGCCAAAATCAAGAGTCGGATGCTTAACCAACTGAGCCACACAGATGCCCCAAGGAACTGTTAAATACTTTTGGATGTAATAATAGTATTGGGTTTATGTTAAAAAAAATTAGTATCCTTATCTTTGATATACATTTTACAGATAGAAGAATATGATATATAGGATTTCCTTTAAAATCATTGTCAATAATAAAATGCTACTAGTTTTTACAAAGATTCACTGTTTATTCTGCTTTTTAGGAATATACTTATTTCATAAAACTGAAGTCTCTCCTATAGAAAATAATAGGCATGATAGAGCTTCCTTTTTTTTTTATCTCAACTACCAGTTAAATTTCACAAACCAAGTCCCTCTTAATTTGTAAGTTTTCAAAAAATAGGGCTGACATATTTAGGATGGACAAACAGTAAATGCACCTAACAACCTAAAACAGATGATAATCAGCTTTTTTTTTTTAAAGATTTTATTTATTTATTTGAGAGAGAGAGCAAGCACAGAGGGAGAATGAGGGGGAGAAGCAGACTACCTGCTGAGCAGAGAGCCGGACACAGGGCTCGATCCCAGGATACTGAGATCATGATCTGAGCTGAAGGCAGACACTTAAAACAACTGAGCCACCCAGGTACCCCAATCAGCCTTTTTTTAAACTTTATCTTATCTCCAGTATAGTTAACATAGTGTTATTAGTTTCGAATGTACAATAGAGTGATTCAACACTTCCATATATTACTCAGTGCTCATCATGGTAAGTGTCCTCTTCATCCCCTTCACCTGTTTCACCCATCCCCCCACCACCTCTCTCTGGTGACCATCAGTCTGTTCTCTAGAGTTAAGAGTCTGTCTTTTGGTTTCTCTCTTTTTTTCCTTTGTTCATTTGTTTTGTTTCTTAAATTCCATGTATGAGTAAATCATATGGTATTGGCTTTCTCTGACTAACTTATTTCGTTTAGCATTATACTCTCTAAATCCATCTGTGTTGTTGCAAATGGCAAGATTTCATTCTTTTTATGGCTGAATAGTATTCCATTGTATATATATATATCACCTCTTCTTTATCCATTCATCAGTCGATGGACCCTTAGGCTGCTTCCATAGTTTGGCTATTGTAAATAATGCTGCAATAAACATAGGGGTGCATGTATCCCTTTGAATTAGTGTTCTCATATTCTTTGGGTGAATACCCAGTAGTGTGATTATTGGATTGTATGGTATTTCTATTTTTAATTTTTTGAGGAACCTCCATACTGTCTTCCACAGTGACCACACCAGTTTGCATTCCCACCAACAGTGCATGAGGGTTCCTTTTTCTCCACATCCTCACCAACACTTGTTCTTTCTTGTGTTGTTGATTTTAGCCATCTGACAGGTGTGAGGTGGTATCTCACTGTGGTTTTGATTTGCATTTCCCTGATGATGAGGGATGTTGAGCATCTTTTCATGTGTGTGTTGGCCATCTGTGTGTCTTCTTTGCAGAAATGTCTGTTCATGTCTTCTGCCTATTTCTAATCAGATGATTTGTCTCTTGGGGGTTGAGTTTTAGAAGTTCTCTATATATGTTGGATACTAAGTCTTTATTGTATGTGTCATTTGTAAATATCTTCTCCCATTCAGTAGGTTATCTTTTTGTTTTGTTGATTGTTTCCTTTGCTATGCAAATATTTTATTTTGATGTAATCCCAAGACTTAATTTTTGCTTTTGTTTCCCTTGCCTCAGGAGGCATATCTAAAAAAAAAAACATTGTTATGGGTGATGTCAGATAAATTACTGCCTGTGTTCTCTTCTAGTACTTTTATGGTTTCAGGTATAACATTTAGGTCCTTAATCCATTTTGAGTTTATTTTTGTGTATGGTGTAAGAAAGTGGTCCAGTTTTCCCAACACCATTTGTCGAATAGACCATCTTTTTCCCATTGCATATTCTTGCCTCCTTTGTTGAAGATTAATTGTTGAAGATTAAATAAACCCACATGTAATTGTGGGTTTATTTCTGGGGTTTCTATTCTATTCTATTGATCTGTGTGTCTATTTTTGTGCCAGTACCATACTGTTTTGATCACTACAGATTTATAATATATCTTGAAATCTGGAATTGTGATACCTCCAGCTTTGTTTTTCCTTTTCAAGATTGCTTTGGCTATTTGGGGTCTTTGTGGTTCCATATCAATTTTAAGATTATTTCTTCTAGTTCTGTGAAAAATGCTGTTGATATTTTGATAGGGAATGCACTAAATCTGTAGATTGCTTGCAGTAGTTTAGACATTTTAATAATATCTGTTCTTCCAATCCATGAGCATGGAATATCCTTCCATCTGTTTACATCATCTTCAATTTCTTTCATCAGTGTTTTAAAATTTTCAGAGTGCAGGCCTTTCACTTCCCTGGTTGAGCTTATTCTTAGGTATTTTATTATTTTTAGCATAATTACAAATGGGATTGTATTCTTAATTTTTCTTTCTGCTGCTTCATTATTGTTGTATAGAAATACAGTGGATTTCTATACATTGATTTTGTATACTGCAACCTTACTGAATTCATTTATCAGCTCTGTAGTTTTTTTCGTGGAGTCCTTAGGGTTTTCTGTATACAGTATCATGTCATCTGCAAATACTGGAAGTTTTACTTCTTCTTTACCAATTTGAATGCCTTTTAGTCCTTTTTCTTGTCTGATTGCTGTGGCTAGGACTTCTAGTACTATGTTGAATAAAAGTGGTGAGAGTGGACATCCCTATCTTGTTCCTGACAGGGGGAAAGCTCTCAGTTTTTCCCCATTGAGGATGATATTAGCCATGGGTTTTTCATGTATGGCCTTTATTACATTATGGTATGTTCCCTCTCAACCTACTTTGTTGAGAGTTTTTACCATGAATGGATGTTGTACTTTGTCAAATGCTTTTTCTGCATCTACTGAAATGATTGTGTGGTTTTATCCTTTCTCTTATTGATGTGATATATTACGTTGATTGATTTGTGAATACTGAACCACCCATGCATCCCGGGAATAAATCACACTTGACTGTGGTGAATGAATTTTTTAATGTATTCTTGGATTCAGTTTGTTAGTATTTTGTTGAGGATTTTTGTATCTATGTTCATCAGAAATATTTGTCTGTAGTTCTCTTGATAATCATCCTTTTAAACCTAATTTCACCACAAATGTCAGGTTATGCTTTACAGACAAAAACAGAAACCTCAACAAGCTGTCTAGATGGGAAATGAAAGAGTTACTCTTATGTTCTATGGTTTCTGGTGGAAATTAGTTCTTGGGAATTTTAAGTGGGTGATACTAAAAAACCTAAAATCAATTGCATTTATAAGTCATAAAGTATAGCTAGGATTACACTTTTAAAATTAAAAGAGTAGGAAAACAAAAAGAAAAGACTAAAAGTCTCCTGAAATCAAGAAAAGCAAAACAAAGTTCTGTCATTCCTTTCCATTCTTAACAAGAATGTGACCAGGTCCAAGTATCTAAAGAACAAGAAACAGTAGGCACCCCAGAAATGACACTTGGCACGTGCTTTGGGACAGGGTGGCAAAGGTCGTGGTGGCCATGCTACCACTGTCAGCAACTGCACCAAGTTCTACTTTAAGGGCGTCCATGAGCCACAGCAGCGCCTGGATCGGATGCGCTGAGACCCTGTGTGGAGAACCAACCAGAAGGGAGCCTCAAGGGGCACAAGTGTTTTCTCAGAAGCATTTGCAAACCCTGGTCAAACCAGAGGCTGTTCACTGGGAGTGGGGGCGTACACAGCCACTCTCCAGCTGCTCCCAGCTGGGACTCTTGCCGAAGCTGGGAGCAGCGGGGAGCCGAGCCAAGACTTTTAGGCCCCCGGAGAGTCTGCAGGGACACAGACGCAGCAGGACTCTGGTGCTCCCAGCACTACAGAGACATAGAGACCCAGGGCCCTCAAAAACAGAGCCAGCTTCATCTTCAAAATATCAGAGAACAGAAGCTAGCAATCTATGTAAAGAATAACTCATAAAGAGCGGCTGGGTGGCTCAGTTGGTTAAGCGACTGCCTTCAGCTCAGGTCATGATCCTGGAGTCCCCGGATCGAGTCCCGCATCGGGCTCCCTGCTCAGCAGGGAGTCTGCTTCTCCCTCTGACCCTCCCCCCTCTCATGTGCTCTCTCTCTCATTCTCTCTCTCAAATAAATAAATAAAATCTTAAAAAAAAAAAAAAGAATAACTCATATGCCCACATCGGATTTATTTCAGAAATCAAAAGTTAGCTTAACATTTGAAAATTAACTATATTAACAGAAAAAAGGAGCATCATATAGTCATCTTGATAGAAAAAGCACTGACAAAATTCAACAACCATTTGTTATTTTTTAAAAAAGGAAAATTCTTAGGCGCTCCTGGTGGAAATACACCTCTAAGGGAAAAATCAAGACATGGACCAACAGCAAGAAATATGAGAGAGAAAAATGTTCTTATTGTGGGTTTATTTTAATATGTTCCTAAAACTCTGTTAACTGAAAATTATGACCAACTCTGCTTCTTGCCTAAATAAAGGGGAATGACCATGTTATTTCTATTATATTTTCCAAAGAGTTTTCCTTTTTGTTGTTGTTTGTTCTGCAACAATGGGCTAAGCCCACATCAACATTCTGTAACCAAGTCCCTCTTAACAAAGTGTTATGCTTTAGATGTGAAAAGCTCACTCACTTACCACGGTCATCGAGGAGAATATTCTCAGGCTTTAAGTCTCTACAAAGGAAGAGACAACAACAAAAAGCTCCGTTATTCAGAAGGTGACAATGGTTCATCAGCACCCAGCAGAAATAACTGCAGATGTGTGTACTATGAGCAGCACCAAGGACGGGGGATAACAAAACCGTCCTTTGTGGGTCACATCGTGAGTCCTTCACGCCGTCGCTGGAAGGACGAGGACGCCACAAAGGTTCATCTCAACCAACACCGTGCATGTGACCGCAGTGTGCTCTGTCCAGGTCCGCAGGTCTGAGACAGTTCAGTGATGGAAGGCACAGCCCCGTAGTAAGGACTTAGTCCTTAATGAACTTGGCTCAATTTCCCTTATCACTCATATGTTTTAACATGTCAACAACTGAAAATTTCCCATACCAGAATAACTCAGCTTTGGGAGTCAGACAGGCACGGATTCAAATCCTAGCTCTGCCACTCTTCCGCTGCGTGACTGGAACTGCTCTAGGCCTCAGTTTCCTCCCCTGTACCATGGTGTGATCCACACACACCCACTTCCCCGGTGAGGCAGGGTTGGGGGAGCTCAGGCCTTGCAGGAGGAAGTGTGTAATCAACAGCCGCAACTGGGGGAGGGACACCACAGGCTTTGAATAAATACAGATCACTAAAGAATAAAATATCTTAAATGTAATATTCCAAACTGCTTGTTTCTTACCTTTGAAAGAAAAAATTTACTTTTCAGAGAATTTATATTTAACTCTGGTTTCAAATGTGGCCCTATCACAACACCCCGTGTCCCCCGAGCATCGCCCCTCCATCTGTGGCCAGATTACGAGAACCTCCACAGGAGAGCAACAGCGGATGGAAGGCGGTTGAACTCGGGAAAGCTCCGTAAAGGGACAGAACCAGGAACTAGCTGAAGTGAGCCCTCCCAGCACCCTCAGAGGCCGCAGTTAGTGTGAAACCTGCTCAGGCCCAAACCCACACCCTCAGGAAAAGATGAGAAGTGAGCCTGTTAACAGCTCACAGACAGGAGAACACACCCTGAGTGGCTGCACAGGAACATTGCTGTGGTGCCGGCCATGCCCCCACGGTCACGGTCCCCTTGGGGAGAGGAACCAGCGGCAAAGGGGCAGGTGGCTTCCGCATTTGCATCTTGCAGCCACGTGCATATGCTCCTGCACTATCTGGGTGGGATGATGAGCATTTCTGTTTTTCCCTTTATTGTTTTCTGTATTTAAAAAAAATCCTTATAAATGCTATTGAAAACAAAGTAGCCTTCCTTACATGGAACCTCCACAGCCTGCTCGTTTACGTAGGCTTACGCTCAACAGCAACACAACACCTGCCCCCCAAATTACTTAAATGTCTCCCGGGACGTCCTAAACCTCACTGCTCCAAGTGTGGGCTGCAGAGCTGGTCCGAAAGCCGGCTGTGGGCCAGCCGTCCACTCAGCTGTCACCACGCACTGCGGGTCAGCCGGCTTGGAAAGGAAGCACCGGCAGCAGGAGTGATGTCAGCACCGCACCCAGTGCCCGCCACGCACGCCACGACTGTGCTCTCACATGGCGCAGGCACCATCTCCTATCCGGGCCCCAAAAGCTCTGGGAAGCAGCTGTAGACAGAGTGCAGAGTGCTGGTCTTGAGGACTAGCAAAGTTCAGTGGGTCACACAGAAGCCAAATGACAAGCTAGAACAAGGCGCAAAGGACCCTTGCTCGCCCTGCCCTGCCCCACACGCTGGACACTGGACACGTTCGAGTATCAAGCACCACCGCGTTAGGCCACAATGTGTTGTTGTTTCTTGCACCTTCCTTCAAAGACGATTTCTCCAGGCTTTTGATCAACCTAAAGGCTCTCTTCACAGGTCTCCAAGCTTGGGTGCGGGCCTTGTGTGGAGGACGCTGGACAATGCCTCATCACTGGTCAGCCACTCAGCCTCCAGGATGTGGCTTCCTCAAGTGTCAGGCGAAGGGGTTTCTTTTGGTGATCTTTTTGGTTCCTTTTGGATTGCAAAGTAATGATCCAATCACGGTCTTAAGCCAGGAACACAAACAAAGGTCAGCATGTACAGGAGGGTTCAACCAATGCTGAGATTAAAATAAGTGAGACTGTCTTCTTGCATCTGTACAGTCTCCCACCCCGCAGCCTACTGACTGGAGTACGGCTTATGTATCATTTGTTGTGCTCTCAAGCCATTTAAAAGTGATCTTGTACCTCCATGCTCTGGGCCACCAGAAACTCATTTTGCTGGTTGCATGTCCATCCTCTTCTTGTTAAAAAAAAAAAGCATTTGCCATTTGGATCCCATTTCCCAGCCTGTCACTGAGGCATGAATGACCATGAGAAGTTGATTTCTGGACCCTGAGGCTTGAACCTCTGCCTGGTCCGTGGTTCACCCGCATGACCCTCCTCTCGTCCCAGCTCATGCCTGCATCGCAGTACCCTGCTTTCTCCTGGTGACTCTCTGTCTCCCACTAACCCCCCACTCCCCGCTGGGTCCTGCCAGTTAGCCAGCCTCTCCTGGGGAGTGAGGGCGTGCCTGAACAGCCTGCTGGGCACACTTTGGGAGTCAGATGAAGAGAACAGCAGGGGTTGGCCTGGCCACAGGTGAGGGTTTCCTAAGCCCTGGCATAATTGGAACTTCAGTAGGGTCTAAATATACCATGGTCTTGGGAAACAGCTCCAACCCAATCAAAAGGCATCAGGAGCAATGTTCTTGATCAGGGAAGGGGCAGAGTAAGGGAACCAAAGCAAAAAGAACTTTGGCTCACTCCCTAAGTGTTCCCTTAAACATTCTTCAAGATAGTATGACTCACTAGCCTTGGGGCAAGAATCTAAGGTCTGTCCCCATTGCCTGCCATCCCACCATGCACCCCACCTCAGAAAAGCTGATCTGCCTAAGAGAGTCTCCAGGGAATGGGTCTGTTAGTTACTATTGTTTTTAGAGACAGATACTATGAGGCAGAAATTTCCAATCTGGAAAAATGTGGGTCATAGACAGATGAACAGTTCTTTTAAACGTTAAGATCTGCCATTCTTACTTTAAATTAACTTCCATGTTTCAAAAATGATGGAAACAAGAGATTATCCTTTGAGCACTTACTGTAAATGGTAAGCATATCTCCATTTCTGTGTTCATTTGCATGCTACCCTTCTAGCCTCTAGGTTAAAGGTTTCCTGAGAACAAGGACTTCAAAATCCAATTTGTTCCACAGAGTGTGTGTCTAGCACGCAACCAAGAAGTGTGTATACATCTGGGACTCAATCTATATTTCTGGAATGACTGAAAGATCCTTCTTGCTACTGAAAAATCTAATGTGATAGCAATAATCTGTACTGTCCAATGGCCTGTATGAGCCAATTCACTACTGAAACAGTCTCGGTCCCAAATGTCTCCTTCCCACCATTATTCTACACCCCAACTGCCTTCTCCTCACAGCGGATAATATCATCTACTTTTCATTCCACAACTCATTCACTAGAAAAAGAGATCCAAAGCACAGCTAAACATCCATTTCCCTTAATAATTTCCAGCTATAGCATTCCAGACAGGTGGGAATGTCATCCTGTTTAATCAGGGAAGAGCTCTTGAGAAATATAACAAAACAGTAAAACTGCCAGCTCAAAATTCAGGTTTTCCTCCTGTTCCGGAAAAGAGTGAGGCACAAAGCACAGAACCCAAGACCTGGATCAGGAACCGTCACCCACGAGGAAGGGGACAAGAGACAACCTCTCCTAACTCTAAGTGGACACGACCCCGCAAAAGACTGCGGGGAAGACACAGAGACAATGTGTGCCAGAGCGCTCCACAGATGAATGCTGTTCCTATACCTGTGACCGTGTCCAGCAGCACTTTGTTATTTATATCATAGTGGCGGTTTTCTTCAAATACAGATACATGGAAACAAAGTAAACGGGCACGCGCCACAAGGTTAATTTGTTCATCATTAATAAAATAAAACTCTAGAAATCATCTTGATTGAACAGTTACTTTCCCTGTTGTGAAAATTAATAAACGGAAACTTCATTTAGAACGGAGTCTGGAGGCAGGTGGGGGGCTCCGGCCCTACCACTCCCGGTCAATCGCAGACCCAACAGGAAGAGACGCACCTTGCACCTGGATATTACCTTAGCTACCACTCTACCATCCCCGCAGGAAGAAGGAGGGTTTCCTCCTCCCCCAGCAACAGCCCAGCCAGTGAGAGACAATTACAGCCCAGCCAATGAGAGACACTCACAGCCCGGCCAATGAGAGACAGTCACAGCCCCGCCAATGAGAGACTGTCACAGCCCGGCCAATGAGAGACACTCACAGCCCCGCCAATGAGAGACAGTCACAGCCCAGCCAATGAGAGACTGTCACAGCCCGGCCAACGAGAGACAGCCACAGCCCGGCCAATGAGAGACCGTCACAGCCCGGCCAATGAAGGACAGTCACAGCCCGGCCAATGAGAGACAGCCACAGCCCGGCCAATGAGAGACAGTCACAGCCCCGCCAATGAGAGACAGTCACAGCCCCGCCAATGAGAGACAGTCACAGCCCGGCCAACGAGAGACAGTCACAGCCCGGCCAACGAGAGACAGTCACAGCCCGGCCAATGAGAGACAGTCACAGCCCGGCCAATGAGAGACCGTCACAGCCCCGCCAATGAGAGACCGTCACAGCCCGGCCAAGGAGAGACAGTCACAGCCCCGCCAATGAGAGACAGTCACAGCCCGGCCAATGAGAGACAGTCACAGCCCCGCCAATGAGAGACAGTCACAGCCCGGCCAATGAGAGACCGTCACAGCCCCGCCAACGAGAGACAGTCACAGCCCCGCCAACGAGAGACAGTCACAGCCCCGCCAACGAGAGACAGTCACAGCCCCGCCAATGAGAGACAGTCACAGCCCGGCCAATGAGACACTGCCACAGCCCAGCCGCTGAGAGTCCACTACACTTCCAGCTCTCAGTTTACCCCAGTGGACTTTGTTTCTAACGTCCCACCCCACCCCCCCTTCCTCTATAAAAGAGCCTCCCCTCCTTTGCTCTGCACTCACCTG